AAAGGCTTTTAATAATATCATGTGTGCACAGACCCTTGCAAAGCAGATTAGTTCTGTCGGAGTATGGTGATTTTGGAATGAAAACAGATATACAGCTGGAGGCTGAGAAAGCATGAGCAGAGGCAGAGGGGAGTTTATTTTCCAAAGGAAGATAAATCAATTTACGTTTGTATTCCATGCAGGACTGACAATTAATCCCAGTTAATACATGTGATTAATGAAAAACAGATTAACTAGATTTTTAGAAAGTCGTGATTAATCACAGTTTTAACTGCACTGTTAAACAATATTAGAATACCAGCCTTTGTTTAAATTTATTATACATGTTTTAGATATTGTTCTACATTTTTAAATATATGGATTTCAATTAAATACAGAATACAATATTCACAGTGGTTATTTTACATTATTATTTTTAATTACAAACATTTGCGCTGTAAAAATAAATAGTATTTTTCAATTCACTTCATACAAGTCCACTCAGTCCTACTGTTTGTTCAGGCAACTTCTAAATCAAACAAGTTTGTTTACATGTATGGAAAGTTATGCTGTTTGCCTCTTATTTATAATATCACCTGCAAGTGAGAAGAGGCAATCACATGATATTATTGAAAGGTATTTATGTGCCAGAGATGCTAAACATTTGTGAGCCCCTTCATGCTTTAACTTGTAAGTTTACATTGTTTTATTTTTGAGTGTAGTTATGTAAAAATTCTACATTAATAAGATGCACTTTAACAACAAAGAGATTTCATTACCGTACTTATATAGGATGAATTGAAAGAGACCATTTCCTTTGTTTATCTTTTTACAGTGTAAATATTAGAAATAAAAATAATAATATAAAGTCAGTGCTATGCACTTTGTATTCCGTGTTGTAATTGAAATCAATGTATTTGACAATGTAGGAAAACATCCAAAAATATTTGTAATAAATTTGTTGGTATTCAATTACTGTTCAGCAGTGCAATTAAAACTGCAATTAATCATGACTATATTTTTAATCTTGTGATGAATTGCAATTTTTTAAATCATTTGACAGCCCTAATTTAAAAACAAAGAGTGGGTAAATCAACATCACAATGTGCTCATCAGTGAGCCCTGTGAACAGATGGTGTTCTTAGCCTGCTAGTACCAGAACACCCACTCTACAGTGGCAAAAGTCTCCTGTTCTTGGAGTTCCACTTTACTAACACAAAATAAATTACATGAGCTACAGCCCAATCTAGGCCTTCCAATGGCGGGGCGGGGAGATTTGGGAAGGGGAGGGCAGTTGCCCTGGGGCTTGGCAATTAGTTGCGACTGCTGAAGCCCCAGTCCCTTTATGCTCCTGGTAATGCTAAGGTCTGGAGAGGGTGGAGTGCTGCAGGCCAGGTAGCACTGAAAGGCGCTCTTCCATGAGCATGGAGGTTGGGTACCCCTCACCTTGCCCGGGAACTTGCGGAGGCTGTTGGCTATTTGGGCCCAATCCTTCTCCCCTTTCTTGGCTTTTCCTTGGGCTCTAGCTCCAGGACTGATAAACCCCAGACCCCAGATTCCTCTTTTTCTAAAGAACCCCTCACATCTTACTTACATCCATGGTGAATTTAACAAGCATCACCCACAAGAGGGCTCAGTTAACATCTCTCTTGCAAATAAGACTGACAAAAAAAGAACCCAGTCACCCTGTTGCAATCACATTTCCAGGCCTATAGTAAAACCAGCACATATTGGAAGCAATAGGTCAACCTGACCAGTTATCTGACCCGTGCTCGCTGTGACATATGCATACTCCCAAGGATCCCTGAAGTCATATTCTCGCCAGCATCCTTCAGTGCAATATGAGCAATATAGGGCAGGGAAACTTATGTGATACTGACTCTTGTGGGAGTCCTCAAAGACATACAAATTGACTTTATCTTATTGCAGAACCATGAACACAATATAAGTCAGGAAGGCTCAACCTAACCTAGCAAATGATAAAAAACTAAAAAAACAACAACGAATAGTCTAGAAATACCTTAAAGACTAACAAAACATGTAGATGTATCATGAGCTTTTGTGGGCACAACCCACTTCTTCAGATGAATGGAGTATTAAAGTTCCAGTTCCAAAATAAATAGCGGATGGAGGGGCGGGGAGGAGGGAGTTGGAAGGAAAAAAGGGGGAAAAAAGTCAGTTAGAGAGTTCATGTTACATGAAGCTGATAGAGAAGGTGCAAATTGTTCTTAAGTACCCATTGTTTGGTTTTTGAAGTCTTTAGGATGTGGAAGGTAGTATGCTAGCCAGGTAATGTCTTTATTCATACCTTTGTGATAGGTCCCAAACCTATAAATAGAATTAAGTTCCAAGGCTTCCCTGTGTATTTGGCTTGTGGAATTGGCCTGAAACAACACGGTGACTTTGAGATCCAGTAATGAGTGCCCGGGCAGGTTAAAGTGTTCTCCAACAAGTTTCTGTGTGTTGTCTTTTCAGATATCTAATTTGTGTCCATTAATTCTTTCCTGTAAAGACTATCCAGTTTGGCCAATATACATGGCAGAGGGGCACTGCTGGCATTTGATGGCATAGGTCACATTAGTGGATGTGTAGTTAAATGAGCTTCTGATGTGGTTGAGTCCAGTGATGAAATCGCTTGGGTAGATGTGTGAACAGAGTTGGTACCGGGGCTGATTGCAGGGGTAAATTCCTGGATGATTATGATGGAGATGTGCTGTGTGGTTCCTGGAAATAATTTGTTTGAAGTTAGGGGGTTGTCTGAAGGGCTATGTCTAGACTGCAGGCTTCTTTCGAAAGAGAAATCCGCTTTTTCGAGTCTTTAGGATGTGGAAGGTAGTATGCTAGCCAGCTGATGTCCCTGTTCATTCCATTTGTAGAAGAATTAAACTTGTAAATGAAGTTAAGTTTCACTCCTTCCCTGTGTATTTGCCTTGTGGAATTGGCCTGAAACAACACAGTGACTTGGAGATTCATTAATGAGTGTCCAGGCAGATTAAAGTGTTGTCCAAGAGGTTTCTGTGTATTGGCTTTTCGGATATGTGATGTGTCCATTAATTCTCTCTTGTAGAAACTGTCCAGTTTGGCCAATATACATGGCAGTGCGGCATTGTTGGCATCTGATGGCATAGATACCATCTACATGTTTTGTTTTCTGATGTGGTTGAGTCCAGTGATGAAATCGCTTGGGTAGATGTGTGAACAGAGTTGGTACCGGGGCTGATTGCAGGGGTAAATTCCTGGATGATTATGATGGAGATGTGCTGTGTGGTTCCTGGAAATAATTTGTTTGAAGTTAGGGGGTTGTCTGAAGGGCTATGTCTAGACTGCAGGCTTCTTTCGAAAGAGAAATCCGCTTTTTCGAAAGAGAGCACCCAGCGAGTCTGGATGCTCTCTTTCGAAGACGGCCTCTTTACATTGAAGAACGCCTTCTTTCGAAAGAGGAACTTTCGAAAGAAGGCGTTCTTCCTCGTGAAACGAGGTTTACCTCCATCGAAAGAAAAGCTGCGTTCTTTCGAAATAATTTCGAAAGAACACGGCTTGAGTCTGGACGCAGGGGAAGTTTTTTCGGGAAAAGGCTACTTTTCCCGAAAAAACCTAGGTGAGGACTGGCCTTTCCCCCAAGGCCCATGAGAGTGAGGGGTCATTTTCTGGGATAGGTTGTAGATTGTTCGTAATACATTGGAGGGGTTTAAGTTGTGGGCTGCTGGTGCTGACAAGTGGAATTCTGTTGTTTTCTCTTCTTGGCCTGTCTTGAAGTAGTTCATGTCTGGGTACTCTTCTGGCCCTGTTGACCTGTTTTTTCACTTCTCCAGGTGGGTATTTCAGTTTTAATAATGCTCTATGTAGATCCTGTAGGTGTTTGTCTCTGTCTGTGAGGTAGGAGCAAATCCAGTTGCATCTTAGGAATTGGCTGTAAACATTAGATTGAGAAATGTGTCTTGGATAGAAGCTAGAGGCATGAAGATAAGTGTAGCGGTCAGTAGGTTTCCGGTATAAGGTGGTAGAAATGCGTCCGTCATGTAATTGTACTGTGGTGTCAAGGAAGTGGCTCTCTCGTGTGGACTGATCTAGGCTGAGGTTGATGGTAGGGTGGAAGTTGTTGAAATCCCTCTGAAATTCTTCAAGAGTACCCTTCCCATGGGTCCATATGATAAAGATGTCATCAGTGTAGGACCTTTAATACTCCATTCATCTGAAGAAGTGGGTTGTGCCCACGAAAGCTCATGATACATCTACATATTTTGTCAGTCTTCAAGGTGGTGGTGCTAGACTATTCATTGTTTTTTTTTTGTTTTTCCAGCTACAGACTAACTCGGCTACCCCTCTGAAGCTAGCATATAGTGTCACTGAATATTAATTTTAGCTGATTTTGTGAGAGACTGTGGTTCATTTGAGAACTATTATAAATTAAAGTTAGTGGATGCTGATTCCCGTGGAATATAACAATTTTGAAAATACTTCAAAACAAAACAAAAAAATCCCAGGTTTGTTCATTCACATTTTAAATGAATTTGCTTTGGCTGAGATCCCACCTCTTCATTCCTCTTATCTTTCTAACAAAAGAGCTTACAGGCAGGGGGGATGTTTTGAAAGCACTGTAGTTATGTGAATGTTGCAGAAGTGATTTGGGTTGCATAATAATGCATATTTACAGCAGAAACCTGATTCTCAGAATCAGATTCATCTGATCTAGGAATAAATAGAAATCACATAATCTGAGTATCCAGTTAAAAAACTCACAGTTTGAATACTGAATGTCTGTGAATGAGCAAGGGACCAAGAATTATTCTGAATGGCACACATAGTAAAAAAATAGTGATTTTCTTTAAGGACATTTTGCAAATAACATCACCCCCCTCACACAGAAAACCCACTGAATACAATATTCACTCAATCACCTGGCCTCCTTTGTCCGAACTCTTATAGAATCCCTATTACAGTGAAATCTGAGTGCCTTCTAAACTTACGATGTATATAATAGAAAGATATATTTCTCTTTTTCCTTCCAGCTATGACTGAACTTTATTTTGCAGATTTTGTTTGGGTTGGTGTTTCAGCATTTTGCTCTGGGGACTTTTGGGAATGAGTTCTATATTTGGAAGCCAGTTGCTGAGGAAGCTCTGTGGTCTGCTCATACAAATCCCCTTTTTGGAGTTGACAGTTGCTGTGGAGGTCAGGATCACAGAGAATGAGACAATTTCTCAGGTCTCTTGGGCCAAACCTCTGGAAGGTTTTGAGGATGAGGAATAATGCGTTGAATAATTTATAATGCGTTTTGGGATGAATGGTGATATAGAAATGTGAGAAATTATTAGCAGATGATTCCTTCTGATAAAAAAAAAGAGCAACATTCATTTTAGAGACAATTTAGTTGTTATTTTCAAATGAACTAAGGCTATTTTCATAAAAACAGGATCTTTCTTTCTTACCAGTTTCTGTCAGGTGCTTATTCCTCACCTGAGGTCATCATTGTCTGTGAGAATTAATCATAACTATCTCCAGAGTAACTGATGTGGTATTTGGAAGATGAGAGAAAAAAACCATAGTTTAATATAATGAACACATGAAAGTTCTGTGAAAGTATTACAAAGGACTGTAAGGACAAAGATATCATAAAACGGATCCAGAGGACAGAAATCTATAGACAGGAAATATCACTCAATCTGATTAATCTGGTGAATAATTATTCAAATCTAAGACATTCAGTTGCAGAGTGATATATGGAAAGCAGAAATGCTAAAAAAGACATGGAGATGACCATGAACAGCAGGTGAGATGAGTTAACAATGAGACAGAATGGCAAAAGTCAACACAATTTCAATGTGATGTGGGTGGCATATCACATGCACCATATCCTGGACTTCTCTGTAAGGTGCTTGTGAAACAACTATAATACCATATTCAGTTCTGGGTATGGCAATACCAGAAAGAGGTTGCTAGATTGGTCCGGGTATAAGTTTAGACACTACATCACTTAAAAACTGGGGATCCTCCTCTATCTCTTTCACCCCTCAAATCCAAACTATGACCAAATCTTGCTATGCTGTGGGTTCTGCTTTTCTGCCACTGAGATGTCAGAGTGCCTACCATGTGGTTCACTGCTGGGTGATGCTCTCATCCCCAGCCAGAAAGATGATATAGAGCAGCAGTTATAGGTTTGTCTGCTGGGTTGTTTTGTTGTTACTGCTGAGGGAAAGCTAACGCACGGAGATGGATCTTTGGGACACAGGCCTGAAAGCAGTAAGATTCCCACTAGTCAGGATTCTTCAGTTTCACGGACAGAGAGCAGCCACCAAGAAAGCCTTGTCTCTAGCTGCCACCAATCTTACTCTGGGTAGCTCTATTGCTCTTGAAGAGGGCAGCTGCCATGGAAGAAGCTACAGTGGTGAGGAAAGTAGAGAATCAGTGTCAAGCAGATGACCCTATTATTTTCCTTTGTTATAGTTTCATTGTATTATTTCAATAGAATAGACCAGTCTAAAAAATTAATGTGCCTCAATATCAATAGCACCTTCCAAATACTAGCAGACAATCCTGGCACCCCCAACTTCTGTCATAATTTTTATTGGGAAATTCAACAGTGGTTGTTTTATCATACAGGCTTGATTAATTAATATTTGCATTGCACTTCGAGATCCTTAGACGAAAGTCCTTATAGAAATGCACAGTGCAATTGTCCTTTGTGGTTCATACCGCATAGTGTGTCCAAGTATTATACTTCCTGAGGTCTCTTCTACTCCCTCTGATGATGCCATCATGAAATAGTCCCTTTCAACCAATAAAAATGGTCTGACATCATAAAGGAAGGAGGGGCATAAGGTACAAATCCATTAGCATTGGCATTATAAAGGTCATGATAAATAGCCCTAGGAAACTGATGTACATTATGTCAAGATGGATTATAATATATAGTAGCTGCTGGTATTGCCATTATTGTTTATAAGGACACTGTCTAGTTCTGTTAATGTTCTTGTCTTTCAAGTTTGTTTAATGTTGAAGTTCTTTAAAATTAACATTAAAGAAACCCACAAAAGAAGAGTCATGCGTATACACAGAATAAAACCTGACAGTACATTATGCATGGCATGTCAGCTCTTAGTTGTTAATTTCCTGGCTTTTTGTCAGGTGAAATCAATCCTTCATTATTTAAACATGTAGGATTTTTGTCTTTGTGTGTCTGAGTGTGTGTCTTCCATGCTGATATAAATGGAGGGTGGGCTGGAAACAACATGTTCTTTAGAGGAGCAATAAAGGAGTCCAAGCAGATCTGCTTTGCAATAATGGCACCAAAAGAAATAATTTCCCAAGATGTCAGAGATATGCAGCTGTTAAAAGGTACTTAGCATTCACACGCTGACCACTATCCCTCCTCTCAGTTGTTAAGCTAATGGGGTAGCAGTCGCTAGTACAAAAAGCTTTGTGGTACACGGGATACACACATTAGTATATTTCTACTTAAGGGGCCTTAGAAGAAGATTCGCTTCTCTGCTTTTGTCCTCTGTCTTAGAAGGAGGAGTTGGAAGCTGAAAAACTCTGTCCAATATTTAAACCCAAAGGGTGCGCACATTTCCAGTCACGGAGGTGCCCCTGCCTAGTGAGGGTTTCACTTTAAATTCAGGTTGGCAATGTCCATTAGGACTCCTCCCTGGTTTTTATTTTCAGTTCCTTGACACAGAAATAGATGTTTATTAAACTGAGGTACCAAGAGGTTAAGGGACAGGCTGTGGTCATGAGATAATTGCAAGGCAGAGCTGGAAATAGAATTCAGGTCTCCGGACTCCTGGTATGTCTGACCTCTAGAGGAAGCTTCTTACAAGCACCAGAGGATGTACAATAAGAACCAAACCCAGCCATTTGAGTCTTGTGTCTATAATCTCTGTGAGTAGATGATATAGGCATTATCATCCAGAGCCTCAAGTTGTAATATCTATGCCACATCACAAGCAAGTAGACCACATTTGCATTAAACGATTGAGTTAAATGAGAATACTATCTTTAGAAAGGCATTAACAATTGTGTTGTAATCTCTCTCCATCTCTTCTTCAAACAGGGCAGTAGGTTAACTATCTTTCTGATTAATGGATGGAATAGCCAGCACTGAGGCTTCATCCATAGAAATCTGCAAAGACCCATCTGTGTTGATCAATGATCTTGCATTTATCATGGCTACATCCTCCTTACTGCAGCTGGGTGCTCTATGCTCTAAGAGAATTCTGCCATCTGGTAAGGTGGCACTATGGCCACAGTCCATCCAGATTTCTGCCAAGAAAGTGACCTTAGATTTGGCCCCAGGATGACAGAAGTCAGGGGAGACACTGTAGGAGCAGAGCATCTGGTGCTGTGCTACCGTCCAATTCCCTCTAGCTCATATACTCCATCTTGGACAAGGCAGATGTATACCTGAGCCACTGCAGGCATATTAGTTCAAAAAGATGAGCAAATGTTTCAAACAGGGATGGGGCATTTAACAATTCCAATTCTTGCCTGTTTGTGAGGAACATGCCCCAGGAGCATAGCTAGATGTTTAGGGTCCTGGCAAAATTTCACTCAAGGAGTCATAGGGCTAAATACACCAAGGGTATGTCTACACAGCAAAGTTATTTTGAAATAACAGTCGTTATTTTGAAATAACTTTACCTGAGTCTACACAGCCAAACCGCTATTTTGAAATTAAATCAAAATAACGGAGTGCTTATTTCAAAATTGGTAAACCTCATTCCATGAGGAATAGCGCCCATTTCGAAATTGCTATTTCAAAATAAGAGCGGTGTAGACACATTTTGAAATAGGGGGTCTCCAGCCCTTCCCAGGGTGCCCTGGTGGCCACTCTGGGCACAACCAAAACTCCTCTCCCTCCCCCCATCCCCGGAGCCCTTAAAGGGGTAGACTCTGGCCACAGTGCCTGTGCCAGCTCCAAGCCTACCAGCCCAGAGTCAGAACTTGCTGCACCTGACCCAGTGGCCCCAACATGAGCCAGGCAGCCAGTGCCAGCCAGCCCTCCACCACTCCCCAGGGCCAATGTGCCAGCTCCCAGGAGCCTACCACGTGCCTGAAGCAGCAGGCACCTGCCTGCTCCAGTGCAGAGATCAGGGACCTAATTCAGGTTTGGGGGATGCCTCCATCATCCATGATCTCCACACTAAACAGAGGAACACAACCGTCTACAGGCGGATGGCTGCCAGCCTGGCCACCAAAGGCCACATGCGAACCCAGGAGCAGGTACACATGAAAATATAGGAGCTGCGGCAGGCATATGCCAGGGCCACAGGGCAGCTACCAACCATGGCAGGACAGTTTGTGCCCCCCAGGTGGTCATCAACCCTGGGGCAGAGCTTGCTGCCTCCTGCTGCTCCAGCCCCTGCTGCCTCCCTAGCTACTGCTCCTCCTCCCACTCCTTCTCCCCCTCCCACTTCTTCCTCCCCACCCTCACCACACCCACAGGGACACTGAGGCCCCCTCACTCACAGTGCTGGGAGACAGTTTGGCCAGCGAGAACCCCAACGCTGAGCCCTGCCCCAGTTTTGTTCAATAAAGAGGCTTTGTTGTAATGAAGACATGCATTTTTTTATTGTACAGCAGGAAGATGGTTAGGGAGGGGTAAGTGGAAGGACATGAGGGAGGAATGAGGCACAAGCCCCCAGTGGGGCACACCAGGGAGACTGTTACTGCCTGCAGAATTTGCTGCCAGGCTCACAGCAACACATCCAGGAGAAGCACCAGAGTGCCCAGGGCCCGCTCTGGCTCCATGCTGTAGAGTGCTGTGGTGTCCTGAGTGAGGGCAACCGAGGGCAAGCAGAGAAAAAATGCTTTGCTGTCCCTCAGTAAGATAGGCAAGCAAGCCGGGAAACCTTAGAACAGGCTGTCCAGGGGGGGCCTTTTAAGCACATGTGATGTTCTGAGTGAGGGCAAGCAGAGAAAAAATGCTTTGCTGTCCCTCAGTAAGATAGGCAAGCAAGCCGGGAAACCTTAGAACAGGCTGTCCAGGGGGGTCCTTTTAAGCACAGGTCTCAGATACCTTGTGTGACTTCTGCCTGAGGCTAACTCCTGACCCAATGCCCTGCCAGAACCGGTTCCGGCCGGCCTTAAATGCGATTCAGCATCCTATCAGTGTGGAGGTGCTATTTCAAAATAGCAAAATGCTATTTCGAAATGCATTTTGTGTCTAGATGCGTTATTTCAAAATAAGCTATTTCGAAATAATGCTGTAGTGTAGACATACCCAAAAGGAGCTACAGACCTAACTTATATTATAAAAGCTAAACTACAAAACTACTGAGGTGCCACTGACATTCAGAAAATTCCTGTTCAGATGCTCCCTAAGTCTGTAGATGTTTGGACTCCCAGAATGTCTAGATGTTTGTTGTTAAAGTCACAGGTACCTAAATTTCAGCACCTGGGCCTGCCGCATATAGCTGTCTAAGTAATGACACAGCAGTTTGGGCTTCGCAAGGTAGGCATTTCCCTGCCTATTTTACCTTTGCCAATCCAATAGACATGCTCTGAACATGCCTAAACCTATATAACATGGAAGGAGAAGATGGAATGGTGCCAGTTTATAACCTTAAGTCCCATGGTTAGGGCATTCATCTGCAATGTGCGAGACCAGGATTAAAATCCTTCCACCTGATCCAAAGAACGGTTGTGGGATATTCTGGAACAGGTCTCTCTCAATCTCTTGTATTGAAGCTAATTAAATATTCCCTGGGCCAGAGAGAGTGTCAGGATGACCTAGGAGACTCAGGTTCCTGTTCTCCTGCTCCAATGTGGCATGCACAGTACGTCCAGATTCCAGATAGGGGACTTCATAAACTGTTTGAGTCTGCCCTTGTCTTTGGCCTTCAGTGGACAGACTCAACACAACTCCCTAGCCCTGCAAGAAACACACCTAACGCTGAAGGCTGAATTCCAACCCCAGTTCCAGCTCCCAACATTTCATTCCAGCAGAAGAGTATTAGTGGATAGCCTTGTTTCACTGATTTCATTGTGAAAAGCCAGCTGGAGTTCAGATGGAATGGGACGATTAGTAAAACAATGATTAAATGATTCAGTGATCCACAATGGATTTGGAATTTACGCTTTTCTCAGTTCTGAGCTGTTTCATTTCAAAAGTGGCATTAAAAAGAGATAATTAGTCCACACGATCTCCCAGATTCATGAGGTGAGCTTCAAGCCACATGACTGAAACATAGATACTTTTCTGACCTTGTGTTCCTTCTGCTAGTCTTAGCTTTGACTCTCCTTCATTTTACCAACCTTGGGTTCTTTTATTTCATCATCACCCTGTCCCTTTCATTGCATGGATCAATTAGTTGCTCTCAGTGGGTGGTCTGTTATTTCTCTGTCTCCTTTTAAAGGGTAAGTATTACAACTTCCTAAAAAATCCAGATACAGAATAATTCTCAGGCTTTACTTTATAGCTAGAATCCAGAGCTCTATTACCCCAACTCTCTATGGCTGTTCTTTACCATTAATCAATAGATCATATGTCATGATTTTAGTTTTCAAGTGAGTCTAGCAATGCTGAAAGGTCCTGGATTGACAGTGTCACTCTTGAATACATAAGAAAGGCAAAGGCAGTGTAAACATCCTTCTTCATATTGCATTGGTAGGCTTTAACACAACCTGGAGGGAGTACCCAGGATAAGGCCTTGAGTTTATTATTATTTATTTGTATACTGTTCGTGCCTACAGGCTCCAACTAAGGGTGTGTCTAGACTACATGCCTCCTTCGACGGAGGCATG